CTGCCCGTGCGTGCCCGCTAGGGGGCGCGCGCGAGCAGAAAAAAATTGCCGTCTGGAGACGGCAACCCGCAGATGCTGCAGTGCCGTCCGTCCGTTTTTTTACTACGGGCGGACGGCAAGAGGTTAAGGGAGGTAAAAAAAAAAATGGGGAGCGAGTTTAGCGTAGATGGAGGAATCTGTTTCACTTTTTCCATCTGACCACAGAAAATCTGCAGATAATCTATAGATGTATGGCCAGTTTAAAGGAGAACTATGGGGTCAGTGTTTTTCCCCATAGTTCTCCTTAGGGTAACGGGGGGACACAAACTAGCGTCCTCCCGTTACCCTAAGCTCAGTATACCGCGAGCTACAGCTCGCGGTATACTGAGACGCCGCACCTGGAGCGGATCCCGACTTAGATGACGGGATCCGCCCAGCTGCGTGAGTGACCGCTGGCTCTGCCTATCTAAAGGCAGAGCCAGCTGTACCCGCCCCCTCCCCCGTCCGTTCCGCCAGTCAGCGCTGGCAGATCGGAGCGGGGAGAGGGGAATCCAGCCCCTCCCCCTGTCATGGCAGAGAGCCGTGACAGGATCGAGAGGTGAGTGAACCTGGTATGTGTTCGCTCACCTCCCGATCTACTGAGCCGACCTGTGACAGTCTCATTGTCACAGGTCGGCTAGAACTATGAGGTGAGTGGAAATCACTCATCTCATAGTTCTCCTTTAAGAGAGAACAATACAAATTACTAGTTCATTCCCAACCAGTCCAATCAGCTCACTGATATCTGGCATAAGTCTGATATGATTATTTTCTATCCATACACTATAAGGTGCCTATAGATATTTTTTTACAGAAGGATTGTTCAGTGATCTGTAGGGCACCCATGGAAACTGCTGAACGTGGTTTCATGAAGGGAAATAGCGTTCAGACACATAAGAAAAGGTTGTCTGATCACAATTGTTTTCTCCCATCGTTAACCATCTGCAGTGTACCTCCCCTGGATCTCCCCATAGGCCTAAACATAAACGGTCGTCCCGATGCAGCTGTTCATATTTAGGGTTACTTTGGCTGGCATAGATGCCTGAGGGCGATCAGATGGTGCCTGCATGTCTGACCGCCCTCTCTTGTCTATAGTCAGCTCGCTTATCCCTGTTGTGTGAATGTGTCAGAATCTCTTGATCTTGCATCAGCTTGTGCCCAAGCAACGGTACGTTCAGGTAATATACCGGTTACAGGAATCAGGTTACTTGCCAAATTAGATGCATGTCACACAGTATTCATGAATTGTGTGATTCTCTGCAGATTGGACAGATCTTCATGCACTTTGCTGAGAATATTATCATTTTCAATTCTCCTGGTTTTTAAATCAGCATAACTTCCTCTGTAGCTGATTCATGCTTGCCAAAGTTTACGAAAACACACGGGGGCATATTTCTTAAAAAAGAAAAGGTAAATGTGCCATTTTTTGTGCCAGACATTCACTGAAGGTAAATCAATAACTTCAATTTAAAATGAATGCGTCAGAAAGATTCATCTAGTAAATGTGTGGTGAATGTCACATTTACTGCTTCATAAATATGTCCCATGGATTGTTGTCTTTATTGTGAATTACAGCTGAACATTGGTCAGCTATATAACCGGGTTACTGCAGTTATGAATGCATTAAAGCAGAACTCCGTGCAAATCAAATCTTAAGCCTTGCAGTGGGGCTACCCCAGCACAGCAAGGATGAAGTGTTGCTTTTTGTCTAGGGAGCTAAAAAAAAAAGTTATACTCACCCAAATCACGATCCCGGCTTGCTCTTAGACTGGTCCCTTCAGTCTCGCTCCCCATCCGCTCCAGCGCTCTAAGGTCCTGTGCGTCATCATGTTCTATACAGTGTATAGAACATGAGGACGCCGAGGGACAATACCATTGCTGGAGCGAAGGAGGACACAGGCTGTAGGCGCAAGCTAGGATCGCGGTTCAGTTGAGTATAACTTTGTAGCTTGCAGCGCTGGGGTAGCCCCACTGCAAGGGTTAAGATTTGATTTGCCTGGAGTTCTGCTTTAAAATAATAATTGCAGCTAGTGTATTTGCTTGGATGTAACTTAGTATAAGCCTTTTGTAATCCCCTGTAAAGCTGATCTCAGAATGTGCTGCATGCACAGCTTCTGACAATAAGCATGCTGACAGGAGGAGAGATTAGAGTGACAACATGATCAGCCTGCTGCTGCACATTTCCTGTCCAACTACAGGCTGGGGGCAGGCAGATGACCAGTACTGCCTACCTACTGTAGAGAACGGGCAGCTCACCAACTTGGCTTTGCTGCCTGGCAAGGCTGTTAAATTTCAGGAGAAATACCAATCCTTTGGCTGGTAAAACATCCCTCGGATGTGGATCTCAATTGTGTAAGTAGCTGCTTAGAAGAAATAATATTTCTAATTCTGTTCTTAATCTTTGTTATTGCAGCAAAGCCAAACACATAACAGAGCATCTTCCACAGATGATGCCATCAGAGGTGTGAATTGCAAGACCCCAGAGACACCAAGGACAGAAGCACAGAGCCAGCCTTTCCGGCCTATCTACAGGGGAGACGTCTCTGCCTTCTGTATACAGCTCTTCTGCATTGATGAAAAGCATGAAACGAGGCAAGTCTAGGGCACATCATTCAACAGAGGAGAAAGTACATTACTGTTCTGAATACATACAGTATATACTGAGTGTATGTGTGTATATATATATATTAGTATCATGTGGCTTTGTGACAAGAGTGGTTATTTTATTTATTTAATTTTCTTTGAAGATGTGTTTCCCGTACACTTAACGAACGCGGACGGCATCTTTCTCTATGCCCCTTGACAGTAAGGAGCAGGGGAGACTGATTATGATGACACAGCAGTGGTTTTTGCAACATGCTTTGTCAGACGATTGCCCTCAAATGACGTCAATCACCATCTGCAAGTTAATGTGTTTGACTTCCAGCACCTTTTCTGTGGCACCCTTCAGCTTCAGTTTAGGGAGGTTAAACCCAGTTCGTAGTGGAAGGAGCGGCCATCCCTTTTAACAAGGTGATAGCCGGGTTTAACAAGCGGCTAATCCTTCGGCTCACTCCGACCGAAGGTCTGCTGTATGGCCTATTCACAATGTCCCGTACAGCAGTCAAAGAGCTTAGCCGAGCCGAACGCATACAGCCGAAGCGGGGAGAACGGTCTGCCGAAGCCGACCATTCTCCCCGCAAAATGTAAACACATTTAAAAACAAAAAAACAGTGTGGGGTTCCCCGGAAAAGCCACCCCACCGCTCCAGTGAAAATGAACAATTTGACTTCTGCCGCCCGTGCCGCCCGAATGTAAAACTGATAGGTGTAGCTAGTGAATACATCACCGCTGGTTCCGCCTATCTGTTGTCATTCGGCCGGCATCTGTCAAATCGCTATTAAAAGGCACTGGCAAAATGACAACAAATGGGCGCAGCCAGCCGTGATATCACTGCTTGTTTTGCCCATTTGTTGTCATTTAGCCGGGACCTTTCAATAGCCATTTGACAGGTGACTGTCAAATCCCACTCTGTTTTTTTTTCTTAAGTTTACATCTTTTCCTTATTCTCTGAGGTAGCGAACAGCTGTGAATAGGGGCGGACAGCTGTGAATGAACTGCCGAACGCTTGTCTCAGCCGATCCAGATGTTGGATCGGCTGAGGCGAACATGTTCTTCACTTCTGTTCAGCCAAATGTGCTGAGGTTGTTCGGCTTAACTGAAGTGAAGGGAGCCAAAGCCAGATAATGTACGGCTGTTTTCAGCCATACAGAGTTGAAGTGAATAGCAGAACAGGGTTCTTCTCCCTTCGCTTCGGGTTTGGCAGCCTATTCAATAACCCCCGCTTTTTAAAAATGCATAGAAAATTAGCAATCTTTATCTTTTATGATATTGCTTATGTGGTACAATGCAGTCTAGCTTTTAATATTTCTTGTCACAATGAGAGGTTTATTTGCTTTTATGTTTGTTCTTTCTTAGCATTCCATGAAATATCCTTTACTTGTTGAATATCTGTTCATTTTTATTTTGCAGGTCTATTGACTTTTTGAGTCATGTTTTCAGCCTTTTTCCTGTAAGTATACCCAACATATCCTGTGAAAACTGAGCAACTGTATGACCTTTAACCAATTAGTTTCAGAAGATACTTAAAGATTTCTTAAAATGTTCCTTGATGTCACTTAATATATTGTAGATTACCAGTCTCTAAATGTGGTGGCTGCATTAGTTTTGATTTTCAGCTAGTACAGAAAATACCAACGGACTTAGCCAAAAAGGCCATGTTCTTGTCACTTCTATCAGCTCCACTGATGACAAAAACTGTTATTTTCCTATCAGCCACCTTATACTGGAGATGAACAAATCCATCCATAGATACAATGGAGGTGTAAACATAGCCTGCCATGAACAGGGCCAGATAGATTGGGCCACGTTATTTGACCGCTGATAAATAATTTTTTATTATAATCGTTTTGATTTTATTGTTGTTGAGTTAAAGGAGAACTATGGGGTCAGTGTTTTTTCCCCATAGTTCTCCTTAGGGTAACGGGAGGACACAAACTAGCGTCCTCCCATTACCCTAAGCTCAGTATACTGCGAGCTACAGCTCGCGGTTTACTGAGACGCCGCAGCCGATCCCGACATCGATGTCGAGATCCGCCCAGCTGCGTGAGTGACAGCTGGCTCTGCCTATCTAGAGGCAGAGCCAGCTGGGCCCGCGCCCTCCCCGTCTGTTCTGCCAGTCAGCACTGGCAGATCGGAGCGGGGAGAGGGGAATCCAGCCCCTCCCCCTGTCATGGCAGAGAGCCGTGACAGGATCGAGAGGTGAGCGAACCCGTATGTGTTTGCTCACCTCCAGATCTACTGAGCCGACCTGTGACAGTCTCATTGTCACAGGTCGGCTAGAACTATGAGGTGAGTGAAAAGCACTCATCTCATAGTTCTCCTTTAAATAATTTACCCTTATACAATTATCAAGTATAACAAATTGGCGCCCTCTCCAACATAAGTTGTAGCTACGTACTCTATGGAAACGGACTGCTATGGACTGAATACAGTATATTCAGTAAGATCAATAGGGAAAGTAAAAATGTACAGTACACGAAGCACTAATTGTGCATTCCGCTCACATGCACTGCACCCCCTAACAAACCAAACCTCTTGTATGTGTATAGGCCAATGTAGTTGGATCTGTATGTGCGTTATAATTAATCGATGAATCGATTTAAAAAAAAATTCGATTAAACGAACACGAACATTTTAATCAGTAACAGCTGGTATTCTTACCTATTTATTTTAATACTTTGAGTCTTTTGCGGTTAGGGAATTCTGACTTCTTTTTTTTACTTTCGTGTATGCTTAATCAAGGCTAGTGATTAATATAGTATTACAGTCGGTGGATCTACACAAAAGACTGGCAACCAGTGTTTTCAGAAGGAGGTCTGCAATGGCATCCTCTGTGTTTTATCATCATGACAAATGTAATTTAAAGTAGGAATCCAGACTTTTCTTTTTTCATTGTGGATAGAATGGAAAGATCCACTCACCATTGGAACAGAACGAAAGGAGAAATCCATAATTTGGGGGTTGTCACAAGCCAGGGGGATCAAGGGGATATATTCCAGTGGGGACACCTGTTCTGATAACAACTATCAAAAGCGTGATATAACCTAAACTTTGGATACATTTATGCTCACTTCCTGTCATGTCTTTGGGAAAAGAAGTGAAGAGAAATCTCCCAAGTGCAGACACATATGGTAGTAAAAAAACTAACTCTTCCCCTCTCCATTCCTAACTAAAAACTGTTTGACTGTAAAAAAAAAAAAAAGGATGTTAAAGCTGAACTCCAGGCAATTATACAATACACAGTGATTGCAGCTTTGTATTCAATGATACATCATTATATGTATATTTCTAAAGGCAAGCAATGTAAATGCCAGAATTTGACCTGGTATCAGCTTTTGCAAGGGAGAAGCAGCACAAGGAGCCAATCAATCAGTGGCACTGCAGTACAAGAATTATGCTAATAGGATGAGAGGGCTCATCAGTCTGCTATTTCTCCTTTCACTGTCCAGTCACTGGGTGGGATGGAGAGCTGAAAGTGAAACTGCAGCAGAGAAAAATCATATCCCTTCCCCTGCCAGACACTGCTACGTTTGTAGAATATTGGGAAACTGAGGCCACAGCACTAATTAATTCAGTCCAGCATGGGTTTTATTGGATGTGATAAAATGGTAAAAAAGTAAATGCATTTCAGGGGCTCAGAAATCCCAAAGCGACAATATCGGCCAGGTAATTATGGGAAATGAAAATGATGTAATCCCAGCATGGCTTACCTGTCGTACAGATTGCTGTCTGTCAAGTAATATGCTGGGATTACATAATCCTCATTTCCCATAGTTACCTGTCCAGTATTATCATGTATCAGTGTCAGCACACAAGCCCTGATAGAGGGGGATCTGGAAGCCTGCAGAACGTGTTCACTTTTTACCTCCACATCGCATCTAATAAAAAACTCATACTGGACTGAATTAATGTGTGGCCAGGTCCGTCCCTATAATAAAGGCAGCCTGAGGAGGTTGCCAGAGCTCTTAGCAACCTGTGATGCTCTTGCCAGAGCGTCCTACTCAGCTCCTGGAAACCAGTGATGTCAGTGAGCTAGGTGGGAAGCTGGAGCAGAGGTAAGCCAACCCGGCTCATCATACCTTTTCCAGGGATGCCCCTTTTTTTTCCAATGCTTTACAAAGAGACTCCTTGGGATACCGTTGTCGGCAGAGCTGCCCCTAAATTTCAGGAGTCGTACTACTTGTCCTCATCCACTCAAGGGGGGGTCCAGCACTCCTGCTGCAATACACATCTGATTGCTAAACAGTGCTGTGTGGGAGAACTGTGGAAATCTCAGCACTGGATGGACAAAAATAGCAATTATTTGGCAGGGGAAAAAGCTCTCATATATGTATTTCTTCTGTGTATTTATTTGTTTGCCTGGAGTTCAGCTTTAACTCCAAAAGCTGTAATGTTTGTTTTATATGAAGACAATTTAAGGACCCCATTTATTGTTCCTACATGCAACTATTCTCTATCTAACCTCCCTGTAGTAGGTGTCTCTTGTAGAACAAAGTAATGTAGAAATAATGCCCTCCATGTTGTAGTATTATTCAGCATACATACAGTGTACATGTCAAGTTACATACAATCAGTTTATGGCTTAGCTGAGGCTCCTGTATGCACATCTCTGCCTCTTAAACAGCAGCTGTGTAGTTCATTTACTTCCACCGTTGTGACCCAGACCCAGCAATATTGTTGAATATCATATTGGAAAACTGGGGTCATATAGGTATGTCTCCATAAGAACACCACTAATATGTTTAGTTTTTTTTAGCATCTTTTAGAAGAAATCATGAACACCATTGGATTGGATTTTATTTGAAACGCCTCCAGTTTTTCATTTCTTGCATTTTTCCCCTAATTTAACTTGATTGTTTCCCAGAAATAATTACTTTAATTATGCGAGAAAAACAAGCACCGCAATTAAACGAACCTCCGAATTAATGTAGGTAAAATATTGTCACTCATGTAATGTTATGGTATTGTTTATTTATAAGTCCCTGTGCCAGCCTGTTCCACCTCTAGTGCATGAAATCATTCCAAGCTAATACCGTGAGCTCTGATGCATGAAACATTTTAATTAATTAGTGTTAATTCCCAGGTGGATGGTATGCATGGATTCCAGTAATATGATTTGTGTTTCATTGCTCAAGGATAAAGACTTTTGCATCATTACGGTTCCTCACCTGACCCCTGAATTTCCTCTGCTGCAAAGCTTTGTGCGCGCTGTCCCTCTGAGTACGTGCACCTTGCCTCAGGAGCTTTATATTTTCCACCGTGCCGGCTTGATCAAGTAAGTGGAAAATCAGCTCTCCAATCTCTGACGGTCTTTTCAAACCTGCACTCGTGTGGATATAGTGCGACCGTATCTTCTCATGTCAGTGCACAGCTCCGGGGTCTGGGGATGCTGCTTTCATTTATTTTCCGAGGCTTTCTGGCAACTTAATTAATAAAATCCATAAAGCAGGATATCCAGCTGGAGGCCCCTATATATTAGATCTGTCTTCATTTAAATGCTTACTGTTATGAAAGTAGAAAAGGAATCAATCTCTTAAATAATGGATGCTAGTACAGATTTTAGATGATTCATAAAAATGTCATGGCTTGGACTATAAACTTGTATATATTTTCGGTCTTTTAAAGTGACTGCAGCTGAGTGATGGAAAAGTCTAGCTAGAATAACACTGGCCACAGATGTGACCATGTTAGACAGAGAGGTGGCTAAGATTGGGTAATGATTCTTTACTAAACAATAACTGCAGTTTTTATTGAAAATGCACTGCTATAGGCAGTCAGTATGCTGGCAAAGTCTAATATAAAATGTGTACATTCAGCAATCATAATATCCCCTTCACTCCACCCAGCCTGCATGGGATCAGTGCAGTATATACAACCTTTATTCTGGTACACAGTAACAAAAAGGTGGATGTGGGACAGGCAAATACTACAAGAAGGCTAGGCTGACCAGTATTCTGTATGAGCAAGATGGAGAGAATCAGAAACTCTTGTGAATGACTTCAGGAGATGTTCAAGTTTCACTGCTTCAATCTGGCCATGTATAGACAGTCTTTGATCAATACAGAATTTCCATGTACACGTTCCAGTTAGTCAGAACAAAACCTAACTAAACTGCGCTGAATGAGAAGAAGCAGTTGATTTGCTGTTGATTGATCGGCTGTAGCCCCTGTGTGCCTGAGAAGTTTCAGACCAGATCCTTTGACAAAAGTTAATCAAAAAGTAAATTTTCGTGGAATAGAGGCGTGCCAGTGGGGCCACAGTTTACAGCATGGTGGCAGCACAGCACACAAGAAACCTCCTCCATATGTATCTTTATTTCATACTGTAAAGTCCATAAAAGCAACACCCAGTGGTGTCAAACACTGGTCGAATTCTGGCCAGCAGGACTTTACAATTTGAGTCTTATATAGCCAGTTTACACATTAAGAAATTCAGCCTGCAATACTCCTTATAAAGCCAATTCTACTTTCACAAGGTCCACCATTATGACCATTCTCGCCCAAAACAGAGTGCTGCTTAATTCCACTGAAAATGGATCATATGAAATACTGAACCTTGGTGGTCAGTGTTTAGGATCGCTAAGCTGATGATCTTTTCAATGTGCAATAAATGAATGGGCCTGAAAGCTCAATTAGGGGAATTTATCAAAACAGGGAGCAGACAAAATCTGGGATCAGATTCAGCTTCTCTCTTCTGTTTGTTGAGTTAAGGTTTGAAAATGGAAACATTTTCAAACCTTAACTCAACAAACAGAAGAGAGATGCTGATTGTTTGCCATAAACAGCTGTTCCACATTTTGTCTGCTCCAGTTTTGATAAATTCCTCTCTCTGTACTACAAAAAAAAACTTGTACTGAATAAGAATGTGGTATCGGTATCAAAGTATCTGAAAAAAAATAATTGTTGCTGGAACTTGCTGCCAATCATATCCTAGTATTTTCTGTCACAGGTTTGAGAGTGCAGACAGTTTTTATTTCAGACACTTTGATCAATGAGGCTGTCTGTGATCGTTAGCATGGACAAATATTAGACCTTTTGTCATCTCAGTTAAAGTCATTTGTGAATGCTTTGGTATAGTCACAGTCAAATACTGTAACTACATCCATCCTGGTGTAATTCCTAATTTAAACCTAACCCTAATTCTTATCAATTCCATATATTAGATGACAAGCTATAAGACCACATCATTAGTGGGGCTGAAATGATGATAAACATATCCTTAAAGGCCTGCCTCGCTGTTCCCAACACTTTGGATAATAGACATGCAGAGCCCCATTACATGCATGCATTAAGTCCTGCAGCTGTCAGAGACACTACGTTCTGGCTTTGTTTATACCCTAAGTCTTTCTCTGAGCCAGTTGTGGCCGCACCATGCAAACATAAACTAGTTGCAAAAACCTTAAAGCAGAACTCTGAGAGAAAATGTTATTAACTCTTGTAGTGGGGCTACCCTCGTGCTTGTTTTTGACTAGGGTGAAAAATAAATGATACTCACCCGATCCTCTGAGCTGGCTTGCTCGTAGACCAGTCCCTGGATCCTCTCTCCCCCTCCACTGCAGCAGTCTAAGGTCCCTTAGTTATCATATTCTATACACAGTGGACAGTATTGTATGTCAGGATACCAAGGGGCATGCCTTTACTGGAGCGGACGAGACGGGCTGGAGAAAGCACTGTCACAGCTGGTGGCTCAGAGGATCGGGTGAATATAACGTTTAGACTGTATGTTTGATCCGAGCAAAAATGAGCACTTAACACTTGCAGTGCCGAGGTAGCCCCTCGGGAAGGGTTAATAAAAATGTTACCCGAAGTGGTTCTTTAATGGGCTGCCCATTGCTATGTCCATCAGTTGGAGTACAGACAGTCTATTGAAGTCTATGGAGGTGCATCATATGTACACCCAATTAGCTTGCTGTAGATCTATTAGCTGAAATGAAAAATGATTAATGAAAAATCTGCATTTTTATTTTTTCTAAGTGTTGGGAAGGGCAGGAGGAGCCTTTGGGGAAATATTTATCCAAATTTCACTCCACTCGAAGTCTAATGATGTGGTTTTGTAGCTTGTCATCACATATATGGAATTGATAAGTGAGAATTAAAGACTTCTCCTTTGTTGAATCTCTTTTAAAGTACAAGCTAATAGTTACACCATTTCCTATCTGAAACAGATTCGCTGTGTGTTCTTTGTATTCTCAGTTACGTTTACATAACAATTCCTCACATTGCTCTGTCCTACTTGCCCCATCCAGTTTTTGCAAATGGGTAATCATGGGTGATCTTATCTTCTGCCAGAATCATATAACCTGGTTGCATTTTCCAGTCATGCATATTCTACAGTGCAAGTCAGATACATGCAAGCTTTTATATTCTTTTTTTTACATTGAAATTTTACTTTTAAAAGTAAGGGGCCAGTTGTAAAAAATGTGTGTAGCCTATTCATCCAGTGAAACTGCATGTAAATTCGCTCTATGCGATATAACCAGCGGTTGTGACAATGGGTCAAAAATGAATGTTCTTAGTGTAATTTCTCTTCTGGTCAAATGTTTTGTAGTAGGATTTGTAGTTTCCCCACAGCTGGTGGGCTGAAGTTGCCCACACTTGGCCTACAGCTAAATCTAGCACCTGAGGGACTTTAAACCTGACCATATCCAAATGGGGGGAACAAGGGCTGGCGGTGCTGATAGGGAAACTAGGCAGCCGCCAAGGGTGTTTTTTTGGGACGCCCCCCCCCCCCCCCCCCCCCCTCTGTGGCTTTTGCAGCCCACAGGTGATTGTAAGCAGCTGGGAGCAGTAGCCAGACTGCTATTTCACTTTCTTGCCTAGGGAGCAAAATAGCCTTGCACCAGCCCTGGGTGGAACAGAGACCCTCCTGCATAGGCAAATCACAGCTTCACCTTAAAGCCCCTTTCACACCAAAGCTTCATTGTTTTTGCGCATTTGTACGCACGGGTTCACCTAGATTTTTTGCGCGTTTTGCAAATTTTTGTGCTTGTGAAAACACGCGCACATGAAGACATGCACTTTGTCTGGCAGCTTAAAAACATAGCAAAAACACACATGAAAATGTGCAACATGCTTCTGTCATGCGTTTCCTGGCCTTTCCATTGAAGTCTATGGGGGAAAAACAAGCTGCAAACTACCAGAAGAAGCTCATGTACTTTTTCCTTTGTTTGGCGTTTTGCTGCTCAGGTGTAAACATGGGCCATTGAAAATCATGGGATTTTTTGAAGCACTTTTTCTACTACTCAAAAACACCTAGGTGTGCACCAAGCCTAAGCTCACAGATCTGTTCAACTGTTATAAGACGGTTTAATTTTTCCTACCAGATTTTTTATTTTATTTACATCTTACTTCACCCTGTTCCAGGGACCTTCATCTACAAAACATTTCTCTAAAAAAATGATTCATCACTCTTTGTTTTCTCCAAACGTTTCTAATGTTTCAGTTTATTTCAGTCTTTTCCAAGCTTAATTGAAAAAAAAACCTGCTTGTATAATTTTTATTGTGATGAATTATAATAATGAGTTTGTTTGAATGATGTATTTGTATACAGAAAGTGGATATAAAATAGTAATGAACTTAATCAAATGGATAATAGAATCCAGACATCCATCAGTGCCATGGGAGTAAGCTTTAATTATTGAGCAGAGATCATAAAGATAAGAACATCGAGCTTAATTAATATTATGTCTACCGATGATTCTGTCTCTGTGGCAGTGTCCTAAAGCTAATAAAGAAGCATGTGTTTAATCAATGGGACACACATACTCAACCACGCAAACACACAATTAGCACTTTTACACACACTCTTACACACACTCAACATATTTCAGTGCCTCTTAGTGCGACTTAGCCACATGCTAAATTACGAGCTATGGACTATTGTTACAAAAGCACAAGTCACTTAAAAAGTCATAGTAAAGACTCAGAAGTGACTAACATACAACATATGAGATGTATAAATAACGTATATGACAGTATCAAAAAGTACACACAGTGTGCAGCACAACTAAACATAACATCTGCATATGTAGTAAGAAAATATGCCTGCCTCTTTGTACATATATAACTAAACATGAAAACCAGTGTTTTATAACATTAACTCAACCTTGAAAATATATTTATTGATGACATTTACATATATATCTAAAAGTCCAAAAGACTTGGAAAAGACCAAAGGGCCACTTTAATTAAAAGCCAAAAACACTTTTTGCAAAATGTGTTTATATTTTTGGTATATTATTGGTTATGTGTGTGCTGAGTGTGGTAGAGTTTAAGTTTTTAAGCCTAATAATTACAACTCGAATGCATATAGTAAAAATCCTCAATCTTATTGAAGTGAATTCTTTGTGTTTTGATAAGGGATGAAAGTGTGGGTTTTATATTATCCCAGTGCCATGCTTTACTCTGTGCTCTCAGAGATAGAAAACAGACTGTGTGCACAAGTACTAAAAAGCCTGAGGGATTAATGTGCTAATGGTATTGTAGCTGCATTTCACAGAGCTTCTCAGTGTTGCTTCCTGCCTCTAAATAATGGTGCTGAAAGAACAGCTCCTGTGGGTTTTTTGCATTGAACATTGTGTGTCTAGCGGCACCCGCTTCATAATAGGCTGCATTAGTACAGTTAATCTGCAATTACATTTCATGCAGTCACAAGCTAATCATTTGCATGTGAATGTTTCACCTTCGTTTTCAGCTTCTTACAGGTGAGGGCGGCAAAGTCCAGTGACGTGCCAGCTGTCGGAAAGCTCATAGGAACTCTGCACCTCCATGAAAGCATTTTGGATGACCTGAAAATCTACAATGATGCACGGAGAGATGTTGTAAGTGACATGATTCAGAAACTATAGCTGTACTTGGCTGAGGTCAAGTCATTATAGTGTATGGCATAGGGATGCACAGATACCAATACTAGTATCGGTGCCGATACCAATTATTTGCTCCCGATGCCTATCCTGATACCGGAACTTCCGGTATTAGGAATTCGGACAGCAAGTCATTACACACTGCCCAGCTTCCTGATTGACCCCCCACCTCCATGCTCCCTCGTCACTTGGTGACGAAGGAGCATGGAGCCAATCAGGAACTCGATACCGAACTCGTACTCAATACCGAAAAAACGGCATCGGTGCATCCCTGGTATGGCAGAATTATTAGATGAAAAGCCATGACTATAAAGCAGATTTCCCCAACCTTTCTGCTTGTATGTCACACTTAAAGGGTCTGTTAATGATGACCTAACAACTATATTTCAGTTTTTTGGTAGCTGCAGGAGGAATGTATTACCCACTGGCTTCTCGTATCGTTTGGGCTCTAAGGGATCTTAAAGTGAACCTTTGCTTTGTCCATGCAGGGCAAAAGCAACAGGGTGACTTTATTGACAGCCCCACCAGCTTCACATACTTACGTCCTTTAAGTCTCATACAAATTAGAAAACTAAACATGAGATTGTAGTCCACCACGGGAGCAAGCTTGGAGCGGTGTCTACTTTACAACACACACAGGGACCATGGGGAACAAAAGTAGCCACCCTCCAGAAGGAAGGGCAGCGTCAGCACCAATTCACAAATGATTTGAGGATCTACAGCCGAGTGATACACAAATAAGATACATTTCTGTTAAAAGGGTACTTGAATGCATTTTTCAGGTTTAACTCCTGAGTTTAGTGTCACTTTAAAGGTGTGCTTTTGTTTGGAAGAATATGGTATATATGTTAGCGACTGTTCTTAATATGTTTAAAATAGTTAGTTCCTGGTATCCTGAGACCCTGCCAAGAGACAGTCTGTAGCAGCATCAAAAGTAAATACATGAATGAATTGGTACATTTGTTTTATCACTTCTTATGTAACTCAATAACATGCAGGATCAGTTTTTGGCACTATGAGTATTACCTTGCTTCTTCCTTATTAGAGTTTTGTTTTCTCCTTGTCTTGATCAACATTATTAGGACATGATTTGAATCGGATGAACGTGATACTTTTGTAGACCATTTTTTTGTGCAAATGAACTGGGTGGCTGTACAGCCACCCAATTAATTTGTACCAGCCTCCTTTCCCCACCCTACCTCCCCGTCATGGTTTTGGTTTTGGGTTCCCCTGCTCTTCTGGGGGACCCGGGACCACGGCACATGAGTTCAGAAAGGAGAGCAGGACCAGGTTGTAGAATGTCCGTTCTCCGATCTGCTCTGTGTGATCTGTGAGGCAGGAGCGCTGTAGTCACTGTGCTTCCCGCCTCAGCTGTCACAGGCCGATGCTGTGCTCGATCTTCTGTATTGGAAGGCAGGGGAAACATAGTCTCCATAAGGAGAACCTGTCACCTACAAATGCTATGACACAGGGGATTGTTATCCCCTGTGTGACAGCAATAAAGTAAATTGAAAAAAATTGGGGGAAAATGATAAAAAGTAAAAAAAAAAAAATGTAATCATTTATTAAAATTTAATAAAAATGTAAAATTAATAAACGCACGCGTAGGGCATTGTGTGTGTGCGCTGAGTGCTGCCCCCATTCCACTGTGTGCCATATTGTGGTGGCCAGGTAGCAGCGCTCTCTAGTACACACAATGTGCACTAAAGGGTAAGTTCACTTTCCCAAGTAATTGGAGCCCAGTTGCCATTTTCCTATCAAGCAACCAATCAAATCCAGTTTTAATCTGATTCATTCCTATGGAGCAATACAACCATTTCTTATGTGAGTTTATAAATAAGGCCCAATGTTAGGAATTACTATTTAGTATGTGAGTAAGTGGGACATTACAGGTTGGAGGATAATGGATTGTAGCATTGCAATTGTGGATTAAAGTGTGCATACTTGCTGATGTGTAAGGACAAACTGGATGCAGAGATTCATGAGGATGCCCATTCTACGCCTTTTATATCACGATGGAGATATTTTATTAGTAGTGCTTACTCTATGGAGGAAATCCAGCAAATTGTCAAGCCCTTCCACTACACTAAATTGTACCTGATCAATGCCTTGTCGAATGCCTTGGGGGTCCTGCAGATAGGCCAGGATTGACAACCTCCTTCGGAGGCATGCCTTAGAGTAATGGGGTAATGCTTGATGGCACTGTATGAATACTTGTTTATAGAGGGAGCACTGTTTTGAGTGCTCCATCCACCATGTATATGTTTATGGATGGATTGTTATGGCTGTGATCAACCACTGCGTGGTATGCTTACTTCTTTGAAGTGGTGACGATTGTTTTACAAATGTAAAAAATTGCTGAAAATTTAATAAAACATTTTTGAAGAAAAAAAAAGTGTGCATACTATAACTTTTGTTATCTTTTTAATAGGATGGAACACCTGTTCAGGCATTTGTTGCTGAAGTTGCTGACCAGATTGTTGGCATTTCAATATTAAGAAATGAAGAGGTATATTAATTTATTTATAAATCTTCAAAAACTGTTCAGCTGATAAGTATTTTAAGGTAATTTCTCTAAATAATGCTCTAAATAAAGCTTATGGATAGAGAGAGAATGGATGGAACCTTTGTCTCGTTATTATGAAGGCATGGTCGTACTTGGTGATGATAGCCTGACATCATCAGCCATGCTCATGCTGTGCCGCTTATTCGTTTTCTCAGAAAGGGCTTCTGAGTGCTGTACAGAAGATACAGTAAGTTACAGAAGCTCTGTGTGACCAAACATTGCTATCAATTGTGTTGTACGGGGGAGTACATCAGAAGTGACACCATGGCATGGATTATGTTGAGTTGACAAAAGCAGAGATGCCAATGCACGTTAACACCAAGTTCTTTTCTACTGGAAGTGCTTCTGATTGTCGCACAGCAAACTAGAACACTGAGTTACTTAGGCTCTGTGTTACTTAACATTGCTAGCTTGTTTGCTGTGTGGAAAGCAAAGGAGATCAGCAGTGATAACAAAACCTTGCTGATGGTGTCAAACTGACATCACCAGCCAAGCCCATGCTAATGCCACCAGTCCTCTGTGCTTCTGAGTTCTGTACAGCACATTCACTGGCATGGTCAGTTACAGCTGATCACAAGGGGCCTCTGGGAATGATTATACTAGTGTCTGTACTGTCTCTACTTGAGTCTGTAGCAGACAAACTCTGCAAAGAGCCAAGGGAGCCATTCTAAGTGATGCTAAATCTGGAATGGGTCTTAAAATGCTGATTACCAAATACATTTAAACCATCATCACTGGAAGAACTAAGGATGCCGCCATTTAAAACTAATTGGTGGCTCTGAGTTGCTACACTTTACACATTCTCATTGCTCCTTGCACTGACTTAGTATATATTAACCTGTTTGCCAGCAATTTATAGTCGTGCATTAAGAGTTGTCCTTCTGAATGGCATTGCTTATATCAGCCTCATTGTATTGTCATATAAAAATGATCCCAGACCGTCTCACAAACATAAAACCCGTCTAGCTGTTAGGAGATTTATTTCAGATTGTTGCCATGCATAAAAATAGTTTATAAGCCATTAGCAGACCATTGCCAGTTATAGCGATAACAACAGCGAATCCATTGATATTTTATGTGGCTATCACACTGCTGCTATATTCGCTCTGGATTGTAAGTCTGGCACAAGCCACATAATATGTTTATTATCCAGTTTTGTAGGTTTGATGATGTTAAATGTAAATGTAAGTGGATGGGGAAAAAAAGAAATCATGACTGCACATATCTTGTTCCTTGATTAATATACATATGGATAAAAATGTGCATAGAATGAGTCTTACATCTACATGCAGAAATGGAACTGTGTTGTCTAGTAAGTCAATTTCTCACACATTATTGAAGAATATTCGAACCCTAAAACTAGGCTGGCAGGTTAATTCATACATGATAACGCATGTACGCTGTACCTGTTCAGATTGTTGTTCATGAACTTATGTACACAGGCTTTTGAGATGCATTCACCATGTGATTACGTGTTTACTATGCGTTTTCCATGCATTCACATTGCGAAATCAAATACACAAGCTTAAAGTGACCCTGTTGCTTGAAAAAGTAAACATTATGCATAACATTTAGGTGTAATATTTACCCTTTTTCAACCCCTTTTTTGCCCAATCTTTGTTCTTTACAAAGCTAGAGCTGAGACTTCAGCATCCAACACTTCTGTGTGTTTAAGATGGCTACATATGCCCACTGCATGCTGTGGCTTCCCATAGCCTCTATGCCACTAGCATGTTGCTTCAGAGCTGAGCATTATGCCTGTATTTTATTATTTTATGCAGCAGTGTTTATTTATGAATTAAGTACTTAAAGTGATGAAAAATCAGAAAATTGTAAATTTGAAAATGGAGACGTTAGTTTTAGTGACAACTGCCCAAGAGGGGATTTTCTTTCATTTCCTTTTGTGTTTACAGGACAGGAACAGGAAGTAGGGAAAGGGGAACCCCCCCCCCCCAAAAGGGACATATATGGTCAACAAAACTCATGGGTTTAAACCATTCTTTATTCTATATTAAAAAGGTTTTGGCTCTAGATATACTGTAATTTACATTTTCATCATAATACTTACAAAACTCTGCCTAAGGCTGAGAGCTGGCTGTATTGTACTGAACAGGCTTTGTTGGAGCTCATACTGAAATTAAAATACAAAAAACTATAATCAATGAGTTCATTGTGACTTTCAGCTTCATGGATGTCTTCATTATTGTTAGCTCTGCATTTAATTATTTTATTGCTGATACAGCATAATGTGCCTCTGTCACCAAGTGTCTGTGTTGTCATTGATCTAGGACATAGAATATATTCGCTCACATTACAACATTGAAGATTTTATCTACTACAACCATCATCAGCGGGATGAGCATGGACATCTTCACCATTATGCTTTGAATCCAATATTTAAACACTACAGCAAGTATTTCCTGAAAGAGATTCTGCGGTTATCACACAAATCATCCCTCTACTACCCTATCTACCCACCATATGATAAAAGTCAGGTAACTGTGTGGGTTTTTTTTTTTCAGTGTGTAATTTCTGGCTATGATGACCCTGTCATTATACTGTTAACAATAACATAAAAGTAGCCTGTAAAACCAGATGCCATATACCTACCTTTCCGGGGGCCTATGTGAAAACTCTGCTATGTTGTTGATGCCCGTCCGCTGCAGGTATCTGACATTATAGGGTGTGTCCAGTACCTACTTCCCCCCACCCATGCACATTGTGGTTCTTCTCATTGGCTCATAGGCCTAGTAGTAATGTTTGAGCCAGTAGGAGGAACCACAGCATGCAGCAGGAAAGCAGGTGTTGGACACTCAAGGAAGTGTCAGATACCTGCAGTAGCCGGGGATCATCAACACAGCAGAGTTTTAACACATGGGTCCCTGGAAAGGTGAGGATATAGCATCTTGTTTTACAGACTACCGTAGTTTTAGTCTTGACCCTATCATGATGGGATCACTTTCATTTCTTCTTCAGATCTGGCAGATCTCTACCCACAGCCGACTGGTGACATCATCTCAGTCTACAGAAAGTTACCTGCCAGGAGCTCAAGGGCTGGTTTTTATTGATAAATGGAACAGCTTTTAATAGAATATGCATTTAAAAGTGACCCATAGCACAAAAAAGCTTGCAGTAACAGGGAATTATGGAAGGTAGAGAAATCATCCATGTATCCTCCTTCAAAATTTCCATTTCTTAGCACCTGTAGTAAAATCTGTTATGTCCAGGTAAGGCTATGTAGATACCAGATACCAGACCATACAGCTATATACTAAGGCTCCATTCACATGGATGCAAGGGAGCAGTAAAACAGTAAGAGCACCACACCCAAGCACCCCTTTTTGGGGGATTGTGGTTTTATGGCCCACTGGTGGCTTGCTGCAATGTCAGCACTGCAGCTGAACAGTGTTGTATACATTGCCATGGCCGCAATGCTTTGCGTTATGGCGCAGCAGAAAATATACAGCATGCAATGTTTGGCAGGTGGTGCCACTTGTCATTGCAATGAATAGGACCTTGCCGCAACTGTGTGGGTACGCAGTTGCGGCACAGTATTGCAATAGTGTGTACCCATTTGGATTTAAAAAACCTGCATTCAGGAGGTGGCTGTATTGCCTCCTGAATGCCAGGCAGCTGCTGCTCTACTGTCCTCTGTAAAGTGATCCACCGCAAATTGCTTCTCAGAGGGCGGTGGAGGCTGCCGCCCATGTAATCTCAAACTTTAGAGGACCATGAAAGAAGACCTGTTGAGCTTTCAGTATGGGCTGTCACAAGTGTTTTCCCCACTCTTCCCAACCAAATGATATCCAACTCAACTCTTTCAAAATACTTTCTCTGTACGATGTTCTACTTCTACTTCAGTTCTACTTTCCTGCATCATTTGGTTTTAACAATGCCACAGGCTATTTTATTTTCTTGCCATCTCATGTAACAGCTGATTCTAAATGTGGAATGGCTGCCATCAAGCATATAACAAAATAGAGGGAGTTTAGATTTAGCTGATCTATGACAGTCCTAAGAAAATGAGCTCCTGGGAAACATACTGGTACAACAAAATGCCATAAACCAAGCCACTTGTTTATCTGTCATTCCCACTGAGATGGTAATGTAATTACTCTCATAATTATCTTCATTAGTGATGGGTATTATGTGAAATTCATTCCGCTGCTCTAGGAGTATGTTTATTTGTTATTATTTTCCCTAACCCGCCTCTCACAATTTGCCAAGTCTGTTAAGAATTCTGTGTTTGTTAAACATCTGCGAGACGCAGAGCTGACATTCTCCAAACTAAAGTGTTGATCGCTGTCTTTCAGTTTAAGAATCCCTGTGCCCATTCACTGACATCTGCCCTTCATTACATGGTTCCCGTGCGACCAAGACGACAGACTGTCTATCCTCTGGAAAAGCTTGGCATAAATGCTCCATCAAAGCAGGTCTCCAAGGATCAGGTGGGTAACAGAAGCTACAGCAGGCAACAGGCACCATGCCAGGCCCTACAAGGTTTGGCAGATGGCATAGAATTACTGCCTTAGCTTCAATAGGTTGCTTCTTAATTACACAGAACCCTGTGCTCATACCCTTACAGGCAGAACTGCGATAATTTGTTGCTGTGTTTCACTAGTAGATGGACTGTTGACAAAATGACATATAGAAAAAGTAATCTAACAGATGTTGTTACATATTTCTGCTGGGCATACCCTAGACCTGTTTTGGTAAGACCCCTTTCACACGGGTGCCTATCAGTTCCGATCAGCAGGGGATCCGTGCACTGATATATGGGACATGTGTCCTTTTACATCTGATTATGTCTGATGCTCGTTTCCAGATCTGGAAGGAGTCGGGGGTAATCGGACATAAACAAATGCACGCCTGTTTAGATCTAGTTGCCCATAGATTAACATTGGGCTTCCGATCAGATCCACTGGAAAAACTGGCAGGCGGACCTTATTGGACGGCCTGTCTGAAAGGGACCTGTGTTTGTTGGCTATAATTGGGGAATGTATGTGTTAAACTTTAACTGAAGAAAACACTTCTTTTTTTTTTTTGCATATCATTTTTCAAAAAACTATGATTGCAGGGATTGCAGAATGTTCATCGTTTGATATATGGTTGGAGAACTTTGTTGGTGCCCCAGTAAATATTTGGTGGTACTGTAGCTGTGACTATTGTGTTCTCTGTACCTAAGCTACTTGGCAAAGACCGAATACAACCTTACATACATGCAGTCCTCTTGCGTAGTTTTTTTGTACATCTGGCCCATAGCAGATTACAGCTTTGTCAATTCTGGTACTTTGTTCTGTTTGAGCAAATTTCAGCTCTACAGATATACATGCCTTTCACATCACTTGTCTAAACATTTATATTGACACTAAAGAAAAAGATTGTCCAAACTGATGAAAAGTGTTTAAAAGCTCTCGAGGGAAATTGCACAGTTTGTCCAAAAGAGAAAATGAATACTGCAGTAATTAAATGGCCACTATTACCACAGGGCCATTTGTACACAATACTATACCTGTAAAAGAAGAGGCAATATATTTACCTTTCCAGAGACTCATGTATGGAAATGCTGATGCTTGCATAATTGATGCATTGCAATACAGCTTCTACTTTTAGGGACCTAAAGGTTTACTTTAACATACTGTCTTATGTTGCACGATTGGATAATTGTGGCTAAAACAACTTTCTACTAAGTGAATAGCATTAAAACTTATCATTGTTCCCCACTGCCTTATAAGCGCTTATTTAGGGCTGCATGGTGGTTTGTGGTAACACACAGCAATCAGTCAGATTTCAGTTCTTATTAATTATGAAGAGCCAGAAGAGTGAAAGCTTTCTTACTGGTTGCAATAGGTTACTGCACTGGTAGGAAGATATGGATGGAAGACCTAAAGGATACTTATTAAAGAGAATCTGTTACAAAACAAAAAACAACTGTTTGATTTGGGTGTTACCTAAGTGTTACCACTAAGTTGGGAAATGCCGACCTAGCCAAGTGTCATGACATGATCTCTTATGGTAAAAATTATGCGCAACTAGTAGATCTACTGCAGCTGTAAAAGTCCTAACATACCCAGCAATCACCCAGTGCTCACCTCTTGCCCCCTCTCCACTCTGGCTATAGAATGTCCCTTGGTGTCCTCATGACTAATGCAGGTCAATGGACTTGCATAAGATATGATATCATCAGCGGTCCTAAGACTGCTGCGTGGACCAGTCTAGCAGCCCGAAGGAAGCTGGGATCAGGTAAGTAAATCTTATTATTACAGCTGGTAGACCAGAATAAGCACTTAACCCTTGCAGTGCAGGAGCCCCACTGCAAGGGTAAGTTTTTTTTCCTGAAAGTGTATGTAAAAAATAAATAAAGAAATAAATATACAGTACATTACAATACATGCACATTTTTCCATGTTTTACCCATTTGACTATGTTATCAAAGATATACCGGAAAGTACTCAACTCCTAAATTCCTGTTATAGGCTGACAACACAGACATCATACTCTGCTGGACTGAAGAGCATGATGTCTGCCATGCTCTGTTCTCATTTGCAAACTACAGAACACCTCTCTCTCACCATCTCCACAATATGGGGGGCAGTTGTTGTCCTTGGGAAGATCTGGGAGGGCTGATTAGACTTCCTGATGAAACACGGGCATAGTGCACAGGACTGTTCTCAATTTCTGACAGAATCAACAGGTATTCTTCCTAACCTATCCAACAGATATAACAAAATACTTTCAGTGTAGCAAATAGGAGAAGTTAAATGTTAGGAGTAACATACACCTTACGTTGTATTCCTATAAGAACATTGTAAAGTTTAGCCTTCATATAGAAAACATTTGCAGCAAAGCCTTAATAAATCAGAATGAACAGCTGCCAGTTTCCATCAAACAGGATATGCGCACAAAAATATTCCCTGAACAGTTGTACTTAACAAGACATTGATGTTTGCAAATGCAAAATCATTTATTGACAGCAGCGATTAGGCTGTTAGGAAATGTTAACTCTCACATTCCAGAAATACATGATCGCCCTAAATCGTTCTTTGTTCCTTCAAGTTTCAATTTGGTTAATCCCTACTGTGCCAAACTATATTTAGATCAATTTACTGTTTTTTCAAAAAGTCTTTAAAAAAAAAAACTATTTCAGTCTGTTTACTTCCCCACCATCTGGTAGTATTCTGCAATCCATCTGTTCAATGTAATTATGCAATTACTGATATGAGAGTCAATAGGTGAAATAATTATGAGCAATAACTGACCTGCTTTGACAGCTTGGCCTCTTGGTACTTTATTCCTGTTTTTAAAATGAGTCATCAAACAATAATCATTGATATGGACTGCTATGTATTTATTAGCAATTGGAACATTTCAAAAAATAAGACCCTGTGGTGGTTTTTGTTATTTTTGATTACTAAACTTGAAGCATTCTATTTCAACCACATGTGTATGATTTAAAACTATGAGAATGCATGATATGAATATGTCATATTTTATAGTTACTTGGCTATTTTTTTAATTTAATTTTTTTTTCTGGCTGATTTAAAGAAAGGAAAAATATATACAAAACCTTTATACAGCACCTTTAAGAACCATTATTGATCCTGCTTCACATTACCTTGCTTAATCTGTTCATTGAAATGAACACAGCTACATCTTAATTACTAAGTTAAAGGAGAACTATGAGGAGCGATTTCCACTCATCCTCATAGTTAGTGCCGACCTGTGACAAAGAAGCTGCCACAGGTCGGCTCCATTGATCAGGAAGTGAGCAGAACTATTCACCAATCCGCTCACTTGACCGATCGTCTCCCTGCAGTGAGTGGTGACTGTCAGTCACTGCTCTCCACAGGGATTCCCCCTCTCCGATCCTCCAGCACTGACTGGAAGAACGAACAGGGGGGCGGACACAGCTGTCACTCACGCAGCTGGGTGGATCTCGACAGTATTGTCGGAATCCGTCCCGGCTGCGTCGCTCTCAGTATATCGCTTTGCAAAGTGAATGGTCCCTTTATTAAGTTCTCTATTCCTTTAGAAAATAAACTCCATGACGTATCATTGAAGGAGTGAGTTGTATAGAAGGAGGGATGGAGAGCGGGATAAGTCATCTGTTCTGACTCATTCGCTGGTGTGTGTAAATTTCAGCTTGAGCTACTGAGCTCTGTAAGCAGGCTTTTTTAGCAGGGAGTAAATTTTCGTAACTTTTGAGGTATTTTGAGTATAATTATACAGTATTACATATTTATCTGACTAAAAATAAGAAACCTTTAATCTAACTCTTCCTTTGCTGGAAAAAAGGACTCCACAAGCTGAGTTCCAGTTCAAAGTTGTTTCACCAAATGGCAGGGGGGGATTTTCTGATTAAGGCAGTTCATTTCACTTGGAAGTGGAAAGACACTGTTACTCTCTCCACTAGCACGTGGTCTGGTCTCCACGCCCATAAACCCAAATGCTTTGTTTTTACTTTGCCAAACCATGACAGGCTGGTTAAAATCTCTTCATAGCCGCCTTCTTGCCGTCCGTCTGTTTATTTACAACGAACGGATGGCAAGCGGTTAATCTGCATGATCTTTGAGTGACAATGACCCTTCTGGTTTTCTCGTTGGCATATTAAGGATGCAACTGGTGGCCCATCTTTTTCAGCAAAAGAAGCCTAAGGACTACAAAGTCTTCCGATCCTTTAGGAACCATTGTTACTGCCACCTCCACTGGTGGAACTTCCAGGGTCGCAGAGGTTGCAATTGCGACTGGGCCCTGGTGTTCCGCATGGTGGGGGGGGTGGGGGAAGGGGGCAGAGAGGAAGAAGAGAGCCTCCCCCTCCGAGATAGTGCCGCTCCTTCCCCGCCGCTCTGCCACCCGCAGCATGTACGGGCGCTGTGCGTGGCTGGAGAGGCTGTCACTTGTCCAGCAGAATGTGCTGCAGGCACCGCCAAGCAGCACACTCTGCTGTGTGGGAGAGGACCCTCTCCACTTAGACCTGCACCCTGGCCGCCGAGACGCAGAAGAAGGTGCTGCATGAGAGTCAGGTAAGTCTGGACTGGGAAGGGGGTGGGGGAAGGTGGGGGAAGAGGGGGGGGGGGCTGATGGTATTCTGCATTGCTGATTTTTAATATAATGTATTGCTGGGACGTCTGTGCGCAAGTGCAGATACTGGGTCGGCGTTCTCGACCGAACACCGGCACTAAATGTTTAAACTTAAGCGGCTGCTTGAGGTCCTGCGCTTGCTGGGAACCTCGGCAGCCTTCCTGGTAACCACATGATGCCAATGGCGGTGGGGGGTCTTTTATGGTTTCTTGTACCGGGGCCCTGAAGATTCTAGTTACGCCACTGGCCACCTCCCTCACTTCCTCCCAGGACCTATTCATCTCTGTTACACATGTTAAACCTGCTTCACATTACCTTGCTTGCCCAGATCTAGGTGCCCCAGGCTGCCTAACATGTCAAGGCTCCA